ACACACACACACACACACACACACACACACACACATATATATATATAATATATATATATATATATATATATATAACAGACTGGACTCTGCTCACGTACCCATACATCAAACGACATCTTATATGTACAATCCTCACTTGTATCATCTCCACAGAAGGGTTAGCACTTGAATAGGGGTTGCAAGACATTGTTTCACATTCTCCGCGTTCTTATCTGCTCCGCATCATTTATACCTTGAATATTCTATGTAAGACTATATTATTTATATCCATTCTATGCTCAAAGTATATTCACAACTGAAGCACATCATGCATTATTATAATTTCTTCTCCATGACACACAGGCCAGGTTGACCTGGAGGGGTTGAAGCTAGAACCAGAGGCACATCATGTATAGCATGACGATCCCGTGTAAAACTGTTCTATATATATTCATTCTATTTATAGTGAACCATTCATACCCACATCTGAACCACACCATTTATAATCTCTAACCTCCTCTCCATTCATACACAGGTCAAGTTGACCTGGAGGGGTTGAAGCTGAAACCCGGGGCTCTAGACCGGTTCGACATGCCGCTGGATGTGACCAGAGGCCATATCGAGCACTTGGAAATGCGCATACCTTGGAATCATCTCAAGTCGCAACCTGTGGTGATTGTAATCACTGGCCTTTATGCCGTGTGCAAACCCCGTACAGAAACGAAGGTGCATGTGGTTGTGTCTATGTTCTGTGTGTGTGTTGATATCCTATGCGCGTGTTTGTAGTCTATGCGTGTGATTCCATTCGGTTGTGAATTGGCTGGTTTCTTTTGTATACTGGTTGTGGGTGTCTGTGTATGTGGGTATCGGCTTGTCCTATTTTGAAAAACACATCTGTTAGTACGACAGTACATCGTAAAACCGATGTACTTGACTTATTTCTGATTCATGTATATAGTTACAACAGTACAAGGCAACGTCTATGTATTCGTTCAATATATCTTCAAATTTACATCGTTTGTTATTTCAATACGGTGCAAAGTCCATATATCTGATCCAGATTCCACAACCCTCATCACTACAGTACAACGCGAAGCTAGACGCGGAACGCCTTCAGAGTTTGAAGATGAAACGATTAAATGACTTCGAACTGCTGAAGGATCGGAACCTTAACGGACCCAATAACGCCGATGATTCGCAGATGGATGGTTTCACAGCCAGTCTGTTGGGTACTATAGTGAATAACATACAGGTAGGTATATGTGTGCTCTGTTCTAATGATAGCCCTGACGTGCGTGAGTAAGGTTGAGTTTTGTGCAAAGGGACTTATTAACGGCAAAGAGCTTGTATGTATGTCGGAAGGGGGAGAGAGGGGTGTCTGTGTGTGTGGTTATATATATATACACACACACAC